TTCTGACGCAAACAAAGATCCATATGCTTTTGCATTCCGAATTTAAATTCCTGGGTGTTATGATAGAAAATAAATGATGTCTTGACACCCATAACTGCGTCATGAGACTGCGAAACTACAGAGAGAGAGAGAGAGAGTATTTTATTATATCACAAACTTGAAGTTGTAATAAGGGTCTCCTAGCCATGCACTTCCAGCATATCTTGTATCTATGTATTACTATATTTATACAGTAATTCCATCTGGGAAAGTCTGGGTCAACTTCTGATTACATGATCAGCAAATAGATCAAAAGAGAGATCGTCTGCTGGCAACAGCTTTTCACGTTCCCACGTCCTTGAGACAGCAAACAGATCCCGTTGCCCATTCAGTTACATTTATTCTTCATTCTCAAAAAAGCAGTAAAACCTCTTCGTTGTGTCGTTTACGAAGATTCGTGTTACTAGGTAACGTTTACTACAAGACGTAGGCACATATGTTTGTTAGTCGTATCGCAGACACAAAACATCACCAAACCAGAAATAAAAGCACACTAATACGACAGAGTGGTATAGAACTTTCACTGATTCCAGTAAACAAGTTTTAGGTCTAACAGGTTTTGATCAAAATGCACACACAATAGAGTTATGATTTTTCAATTACGTTAATGTAAGCCAATAATCTCAGTAAAAATATATGGCGCCAGTCTTCCGCCAATAATCTCAGTAAAAATATATGGCAAATATATGCAAATCAATGTGGCAAAGACAGCAAGAATTATAGATTAATAAATAGGCACACTCTTTAGCAATTAAATTCTGCTTGTAATTTTCAATAACAATTATTTCATCTGTGTTCAGGTTAACAGATACAATCTCTAAATTTCGCACAATCTACATGTTTGTAATTGGTAAAACATTTCGTAAGAAATTTGTAGATGTTTCCGATCTTATTCCATGTGTAGCATCACAGACCTAGCTACATTGGTGCAATAGTTATTTCCCTTAAGCAAAGAGTTAAATACAGGCCATCATATTGATGTTAATATATTAAAAATTTATGTCAGCAGAAGTTGCAGCAAACAACATTTCAGAACCCTTGCAATTCACATGATCGCAATGAAACTTTGATATTGATGGTAGAAAATTAAGAAGTGTAAATGTTTAGAAGTTTCTAGTACTGTGATATATACACAGATACTATTAAGTGGTCAGACGAGAGTGAATGATGTAAACCACGAGTCAGCTGCAAGAACTCAAATAAATTTGCACAGTGAGCTTTGGTTACAAGTTGAAGGGTATTGGTCAAGGCCATACTACAATCATGTCACGTACGCCATATAGGACAGAGGAACCCTTCTATCAGCTCCCACTTTCGGCACTTGTTCCTACACGTTCATAGGAGGTTTTTAATTATTCTATACCAACCACCCAAAAAGTTACTAACGGCGGAGTGCATGGCATCGTCCCTTGCCAGGTTACACCATTCCTGCGTGCGAGACCCAAGGCTGGAAATGATAAAATATGCCTTTGTAACTGTAACTGGAAATGTGCTGTCGATAAACGGGCTGAAGGCCTTGATCTGCTCAGAGTAGTAGTCGGTCTGGTTAATAGGAGGATGATCCCACCAGGCAATTTACTCTTCAGAATCACCCTCTAGAATGCATCATGCAATAATTCCAATCATTTTTTCGCCACTAGGTAATCAACCACATGCAGTTCAATGCATTAAGCAATTAGATTTATCCGTGATCTTTCTTGGAAGTTAGATCTGGAATACCTCGGCTTACAGGATCCAACAGAACAGGTATCTCGCCCCTTTCTTCCTGATGACGAGGGAAGATCCATCCTCCGAAACGTAGTGACACCTACGATTTTTAAGACTTTTTTGTAGCATCTGTTAAATAAAACCCAAAATAGAGAAAGTATTAATATAATACTATCGCAAAAGACAATAAGGAATAAATTTCGGTCTGGTGTTTATGACTTAACGCCATGTGGAGGCGTAGCGTTAAAAAGGATAAACGGTCGATGTTGATCTTCTGAATTGTAATGCCACGTGGACTTGTAGGAAGATACCAACGTTTAGAAGGAAAATACTGACTCCATCCTCAGGTATCCTTCTATTTTGAAGGCGAAGGTAACGTGTCATAAGTGTCAATAAGTATACCCACATGGTGGAGGCAAGACGATTCACCGAAACGTCGTTACCATCTACAAAACTATATTGCGTAACAAACCAGACTTCCACAACCGATAACGTTACACGTTTAGAAGCACATTTGAATTCGAACCTTTACTCCAGCCAGATTGAGGAACACTGTATTACAGCGGGCAACTTGCGGAGACAACCTACTACCAACCGACACTTTCAAGACTCATAAAAAATTCCTAATATTAAGCTCATCTCGGAGACTGGAAGTGCTACAACTTCTTGAAACAAGACCCTCCCTCCATCAAGTGCTCTTTGCATATAATTCAATGCGAAATTCCTAATGCAAAGGATATTTCTGAAATGCGTTATATTATACCTTCGTCAAATATGGGAATAACAGCAGGACAAAGTCTAGTTTGCTGATATAAAAACGTACCTGTGCTATCTTTATTATTTTTCAAGCATCGCTGGCCCTGAAATTCGATTATTACAAACACAAATTAGTCATTAAAAGCATTATCGCACTACAATCACATCATACTGCACAGAGCCAGAAGATGTGTTTATTTGTATTTCGTTAAAAACGTACCGCTCGGAATCATTTTGAAATAAGAGTTGTAGACCTTCAACACTTAACGACAGCTCTTTTTCGGAATGTTGCATTGTACAGTCTGGTAGATAATGACCGCAAACACTGGCCACAATGATGATGAAAACATTAAACTCCATTAATCGTCCGTCAATATCTACCAGACTACACGTAGCAACATCCCAGACAACTCTACACACGAAGAAACAAGTTTAAATTGAATACGTCGCGACACACTTGGGCTGCTTTCACACGTGAGCACGTGATCCGCTCAGCTGAGCGGCTAGCTGTGCCGGTAAGTAGCTCATGCGGAGCCGATACACAATTCGCAGGTCAGCTCGCATGACCCTCCACTAGAGTTATCAACTTCACTCTGTCTGTCCAACGACATATGTGCCTGTGTCTTAGTAGCGTTCATCACATAATGTTGGAACTTAATGAAGAGGTCGCTTTGATTGTGCTGGCTTTACAAAAGCGAAGAAAGCGTAGAAAAAGGTGAGTCTGGGTGCATCCCATTGTCTGTGAAATGGACTGAGGGAAGATGATAAGAAGATTTTAATTACTTCTGAATGTGAATTGCATAATTTGATGAGTTGTACAATAGCTTAAAGGGCTGCTTTTGTGGGAGAGACACAGCTAAGTAACGATGTATTCCGCCTGAAGGGAGGATTGTTGATATTGAGGCAAGCAAAGTACTCCATTTTTGTAACACTGGAGACCAAAATGGATTGTCAATCACGAACGTCATGTATAATAAAGGGTTCGACGTCGAATGCAATTCTATATTTCTTTTGGTAAACAATTCAAGTACAACTACTTATTTAACATATTATATGAAATGGTAATATTTTATAGCATAATTATCAATAATTAATAAATAGTACCCATTTCTAATTACTTTCTGGGGTTATTTTCCCCATTTTGCCGAGAGTCGCTTCAGCTCTCGTGAGCAGCTCACATGGGCCACGTGTGAAAGGGCCCTTAGACTCAGTCCATGACACTGACCTAAGTTAACATGAGGTCCATTCTTGTTACTGATAATGGGAAAACACAGGGCTAGTAAATTACTGCAATCCCAAACCCTGACCGCAACAGGGAACCGGAGACATTTGTTAGAGAATAATGTTGTATAACATCCTGTACCAACACACTGAGGTTTGTGAGCAGCGCCGTACGTAAAAAACCTCATCCTAATTATGCTAATTAAATGTAATTTATCATCCCACTCTGCTTTGAGACACACATAAATCGCTGTGTAAACTACAATAGTGTCATGAAGATTTTATTGCCACGCTTATAGAGTGACCTTTTAGCCAAATGACAAATAAATAACTTGAGGGAAACTTTACATATTTTTAAATGAATCGGAAATTACGAGGTATAAAATACAACTTAAATGATCACAACCGTAAAATGAAGTACAAAAGCTGTGTAAAATATATATTAACGTATGAACTAAAAGGGAGAAAAAATAAAGACAAATTATAAACATTAACAGCCGGTACAAGTTACCCTCCACGCTGAAGTACGAACCATTTCACGATGTTTAAGAAGTAAGATGCCATATATATTGCATCTCATCCTTAATTCCAACCACATTAACTTGGTACACACTCCATAATCATGAACGAGGAACTGACAACAGATTTGTGGCTGTATAACTATATCTGCAAGAAGTTAAACTAGATAATTCCCGAATACTGAAGTACAGCACTTGGGCATGCAATTTCAGTACCTAGCTCCAGAAGACCCAACTCTGACATTATAACCGTTACATTTAGTGTGTTACAAAGCCATTACGTAATTCCAGAACACTGCATAATGGCGGTAAAATCTTTAGAGCTGATGAAGATAAAATGTCACTGCCACAGTTATGTTCGAAATTATGGCCAGGTCCTTGAACATAAACCAAGAGGAAAGAGATATTTTGGGCGACGAAATCATACTTCATAAACATACTTATTTCATAGCCTGCATTAACCTTGCTTTAACGTTGCGGAAACTTTGGGGTTATATAAAACTAATGAAATGTACTCAGAATCAGTTCAGGTGGAAATTATGCACAAAAGATAACAAAATCGTACAGTTATTAATTTATATTTCTTTCCTACCTCATCGTATGGATTTAATCATTAGAAATATGCGCCGTAAGTTCTTCCCTGAAAATTTGTTTATTATGAATACTGTCCAGATTCAGTGCTTTGATAGCAAGGCGTATTGTGATAATAAAGACGCGAGCTTGTGGCAGAAATGCACGCTATATCGAACGACTACTCACCCAGACAGCTGTATCCATTCTGGTGCAGCACAAATCCGTCTTTACAGTCGCACTCGAACATCCCGTCATGCAACTCGTAGCACAGCTGTTCGCAAGGACTACCATGACCACAGCGACCTGCAAACAGAAGAGTAGCCACGTCACAAACCCAGGCCTATTAAACAGGCATCAGCTAAAAACCAGAACTACAAAGTGACGATCGTTAATTAAAATTGCTAGATACTCAGATGAACAACAAATTCCCCGTTTTATGCAAGCCGTACGTTCATACCTTACTTTAAAATTCTAACACGGAATTCTATTCTATCATACCCCACTTCCTTATGATCTATTTGAACATTGTCATGAAATCAACGCCCACGTTTCCTAATTATATATTTTATTGAGGCTCTGCGAATAGAATTTTGTGTTCACCTGCTAACGCCCACACGAAATACGCATCCGCCCATCATAACCTCTTTGCTTCGATCACCTTAAAAATATTTGGCGGAAGAATACACATGAAGAACTTGGATTGGAGCATTCTCGTTCTGTAATAATATTGTTATTATTATCATTATTATTATTATTGGCTCCCAGGGTCAAGCTGATGCTGTTTATTTTGATCTTAGCAGTGCATTTGATCTTGTTCCTCATACTCTTCTACTCAAGAAGCTCAGTGCTTTTGGGCTCTCTGATGGTTATGTAAACTGGTTTCGTAGTTACTTAACCAACAGACAATCCCAGGTTCGCGTTTCTGGAACTCTTTCCTCTCCTTTTGTGGTCCTCTCTGGTGTTCCACAGGGATCTGTTTTGGGTCCTCTACTATTCAACTTGTTTATTGATGATATATGCCAAGTAATTAATTATTCTAAATGCTTTCTTTTTGCTGATGATATCAAAATTTTTCGTGCCATTAAATCTCCCAACGACTGCAATGAACTTCAAACTGACATTGACTCGGTACAAGGTTGGTGCACTGCTAACTTCATGAAACTCAATATTAGTAAAACTACAGTAATTTCCTTCTCCAGGAAAACCACTACTTTGATCTTTGATTACAAACTTTTTCAGTCCTCCATAACACGTACCGATACCATTAAAGACCTGGGAATATTTATCGACTCCAAGCTCCGATTTCACAACCATGTTGACCACATATTTTCACATTGTATTAAGTTGCTGGGTCTTGTTCGCACATTAACCTTTTCGTTCTCTTCTCTCGATTGCCTGTATATGTTATATGTAACCTTAGTTAGATCCAAGCTCGAGTACGCCTC